CAGGCATGTGCTCTGACAGGGAATTGAACCAGCAACCTTAAGGTGCACAGGACGATGCTCCAACCAACTGAGCCACTCCGGCTGGGCTGGATCTTCTTGATGCCCACTTTGACGTAACTCCAGTTTTAGCAGGGTTGCCTTTTAGCAATTTCTGTTGGCTACTCTGGCTCCCATCACGCCTGGAATTTGGCTCCCTCAGACACTGCTGACTCTCCAGGACCAGCAGCTGTTGCTGGTCCGTTGACATTTGCCTCCTCCAGCCCTAGCTCACTGACCACATGTGCAGCATCCTCATCACCACCTGGCACAGCACTTGCATGTTAGCTTGTTGGTCTTCCTCCCCCAGACTGTGAACTCCACGAGAACAGAAATCTCATTTGTTTTCTCCTCATGGTATCCCCAGCACCTAGCGCAACATAGCAATGTTTAATGCATATTTGATGAACGAAAGCATAAATAAAAAGGTGGCATCCCCTTCCTGTAGAGGGAATTGATAACTCGCTTGATTTTGCTAATGCACATCCATCTCTGTTTATTTAAACTGAAAGAGCAAGTTCAGGATTCAACCCTGGCAGGGTTTTGTCACTTCTGAAAAGACAGTCTCTTTACAAAAACCTGTGCTCATTACAAAAGAGTTAGCATCATGAAATTGGCCTTTTGTTTGCTTTATAATTGTATTCAATTGCTAACCGTTCTGCCAATTAACCAAGTCTTTAGTGGCTTTCAAATAAAAAAAAAAAACAGTTATATTTTAGAGTTGGGTTGGAGGGGCAGTGACACTTGATTGGAGATGGCAAGATGGCTCCGGTCACTTAGTGCCTATAAATTTTTGAGTGAGTCACAGAGTATCTCGAAGCCTTAGTTTCCTCATCTGGAAATTGTGGTAGTTGACTCAGTAATCACTAAGTTCTTTCCCAGGTTTATTGCCTCTATTAACCTATAATTCTGTTTCACTAATGCAAGTCCAAAGCATACCCTTTCTGTCTTGTATTTTGGCCAAGTCAGAACTTAGGGTGAAAGCCTTTTGCACATCTTTCAGCATCTTGCCACCAGGTGGCAGGCGCGTGCCACAGACCTTTTGTCCCAAGCACAAAGTGTGAGCATCTTACCAGAGATTGAATTAAGATAGTAGCTTTCTAAGCTGGAGGCCAGAGTCTGTGAGTTTTTGAAATAGCAAACACTTAGTCTTGTGCAAAACAACAGGGGTACCAGGGACCATATCTAGGAATGAATGTTCAGGCACCCTGATTTATGTGGTTCAGAATTTTGAGGGCACCAGAGCTCTCAGCTTTTGGGTGTCTTCCCCTCTCTTTATCTCAGGATGAGTCAGTGGACGCCCATTACCCCAGCAGCACCTGCAGTACTCAGTGTCCCATGAAGAGAATCATGTGCTGAGCCAGAGTTGATGGATTTTATCCTGTTCTTTTGTTCTTTCCTGTCTCCTTCCAGGAAGGAGATAAGGGATGCATTCAGGCAAAGTTGGGACAACTCCCTAAGTTCTGTTTTAAACTATTCGCCTAATTACAATAAAATTTTCCTTAAATACAAACTCAGAAAAAGACATTCCATTTCCCCTGGTCCCCCTCCGTGATTAATTTTATGTATCAACTGGACTGGGCCAAGGAGCACTTAGATATCTTTGGTCAAACATTATTCTGGGTGTTTCTGTGAGATTGTTTTTGGATGAGATTAACATTGAAATCTGAGTAAAGCAAATTGCCCTCCCTAATGTGGTGGGCCTCGTCCAATCCATTGAAGCCTTGAATAGAACAAAAAGGCTTATCCTCTCCTGAATAAGAGAGAATGCTTTTTGCCTAACTGCCTTTAACTGGGACGTTGGCTTTCTTCCTGCCTTTGGACTTGAACTGAAACATTGGCTCTTCCTGGGTCTCTAGCCTGCCAGACTTTAGACTGGATCTGCACCACAGACTCCTGCGTCTGCAGCTTGGAAACTCATCCCACAGACCTTGGGACTTGTCAGCCTTCATCTTCATGTCAGCCAAGTCCTTATACTAAATGTCTTTATATACAGGGCATTCCAAAAAATGTATACATACTTTCACAGCTGATAGCTCAATTTTGAAAATGAAATGTATGTTAATAAACACTGCCTTTATAATTATTCAAAATGTATATATACTTTTTGGGGGACACCCTATATAAATATAAACACATATATATGTGTGTGTGTATCTGTATATCTCCTATTGGTTCTGTTCTCCAGAGAACTCTGACAAACGCACCTCCTAATTGGATATTCGTCACTTGGTTGTGCACATACATACGCTGAGCACCTACTTTGTGCCAGGCCCTGTACTAGGCTTCGAGAATAGGGAAATGAACAAACTGAACGCTCCCTGTCTCAGGGAGCTTCCAATCTACTGAGGGGGATAAACAATCAAACACTCACACAAGTATAAAAACAAAGCTACAGCAAGTGCCACTGAGGCTGGAGTGGCGGTTGGAGTCCAGGAGGAGTAGGGAGGAGAGACTCGAGTTGCACTATAGCCAGGAGCCACACATTTAAATTTAAATTAGTTAAATACAAATGTTAAAACTTAAGTCCAGTGGCTAGTTGTATTTCACCTGCACAGTTTCCACATGTAGTTAGTGGCTCCCCCAGTTCCCTGTACAGCGGGGGAACTCTTGATAATCCTTTTGACTTTATTGACAGCTGGAACTGGCCTGTGTGAATTTTAGGTCAGCATCCTGAGGTAGGAATATAATTGGCCTAACACGTCGTCTTTGAGCAAGGCCACTCCAAGGCATGGGCTCCTAATCTGTAGGAGAGCCCATTGGAGGTTGGGGTCCATCCTTATGTGTGCCACTTGGTACAGAGCCTGACTATGCCTGTTCAACAGGGACCTGCAGTAGAAGGTGTGAGTGAGCCAGGTACCCTGGTACACAACTTGTCCAACATCTACTTCTTTGACTTTGTTCCTCATTTCTCCCAGTTCCTCCTCCCACCCCATCATCAGTAGCTCAGGAATTGATTCAGCCTCCTTTATTTTCTTATCTGTAATCAACTCTTTACTTCCCTTCATCACCTAGTACAGTGCCTCGCACATAGCACGTATTCAACAAATATTTGTTGTTTCAATGTCCACCAGCTAAAGACCTTCAGGAACATACCTATAGTTAAATAAATGTAGGTTTATTTAGCTTGCTCCAATGAATGAGAATACACGGTGTCTTGGTAAGAGAGTGTCAGAGGGGTTTATTAAAAAATTTGGGCTTTGACGAGGTGATTGTAAGGAAAGCTAGAGAAATAGGAACTAGTTTTGTATTAGATACTCTTAGGGAGTAGGAGTGATTCAGCAGCTTGGTATCTCAGAAATCCTGTTCAGGAATTAGAACAAAATGAGGCTGAAGATGTCTTTGGCAAGAAAGCAACAATCACTCAGAAATAATTTGGGGGGAGGGGGTGAGGATTACAGTATGGCTTTGCCTTTGTTTGGTTACAAACTGTATCACACTCTAACTGACAACAGGGTTGATTTCCACTTTTTCAGTTAAATTTGAAAAAAAATAGCTGAATAAATATTTAACTTTACTCAAATGTAGAAGCAATTGCAATGGTTTTTAAACCTGCCAAAGTGACCTTTCACCTTATCTATCTTTTGGGTAATTGCTTTTTACTGACTTGGAACAAAATTGGCCCTTAGTTTAATGATATTACATAGATTCATCTGATGCTCGACCTACCATTTTGGAAATAGTGATATCTGTTTTTCAAAATTGGTATTTTAATTTTGATTACCCATTCAAGGATACTCTGGAGTTGGTCATTATTCCTCTTCAAATGTGGTCCCGATATCATCTACATGGAATTCAGAACAATGAGTCAATTACTTCCTGAGTTTGCAACACCACTTTCCTGTGACTCGTCTTTTCCTCCAGGAGTCACCTTACCCCATTGTTCACATGAGCTGTATTTAAGCAAGTATACCCCTGGCCTGGCATGCATGCAATTGATTTTTAGAATCTGAATAAAAAACTCATTTATCCTTCCAACATCTTACTCATTTTTACCCAATATTCTAGAAGGTTGGAAAAAAATACCTATCATATTTGTCATCGCTCTGACTTTTTGTCATTTGCAACTTTGTTAGCATCTCTTCTCTGCACTTCACTCATAACATTGACCAAAAATTGAACAGGATACCTGGAGAAACAGAATTCTTCCAGCCTCAACTAGTCACCAACAACACTCTTTGGATATGGTTGTTAGTCTCTTTTCAGTATGCTTAACCAGCCACATTTCACCCCGTATGTGCATGAGTAGAAGAGCTTTTGGCAACTGTGCATTTGGGAAAGTTACTGCAGCACAGGGAGGCTTTCAGAGGGTGGGGTGTTGGGAGGAGAGGAGTGGGAGCAGGGAGACCAGTGGGGCTAGAAAGAAGTATCCAAACTTGAGGTCATCTGTCCTTAAACTAGGGTGGGGTGCCTTTGGAAATGGACAGGGAGGTGTTGTTACTACAAACGTTATGAAAGGAAAAGTCAGCAGGTCTCTGTAACAAATGAGTAGGGGAAGAAATGGAGGAAAGAGGAATGTAGAGCCTTAGTGCTTGGATGATGTTGTCATAATTAGAAATATAGAAGCCTTGGAGGGAAGCTGTTTGAGGTGACAGATGGTGGAGGGAATTCTTGCTGCAATGTAAAGAGATTTTATGGTTCAGTTGATTGAAAGGTAGGTTAAAAATATTTTGAAATTCCAGAGGTTTATTTGTATTAACTGTTGACAATAGAAAGGGAGAGGTTGAAGATGGAGAAGATGTTGGGCGTGGCAGATGAATAAGGTCCACAATTGAGCACAGGCATGGGCATCAGAATTCAAATGGGCAGGAAGGGAGGTCTGTGGATGAGAGCACATTTTAGAGCTTCATCTCTAAGGGCCTTTGCAACTGCTGTTCCCTCTGCTCAGATGCCTTCTCCACATATTCTCATGGTTTTTCCTGTAGATCATAACATGATGGTCTTTTTTTTTTTTTTAATTTCAGGCCTCAGCTCAAAGGTCTCCTGCTCACAGAGTCTTTCCCTGACCAGTCACCTGTCACCCAGACCCATTCCAATCAGGGACTAGCCCTGCCCCAGAATGGTCCAGGACCTCCAGGCTCTTGACTCTCACAGGAAAGAATTCAAGAATGAGTCATGGTGGGGGATACGGGCTGCGAAGAGCCTTCTGGCTCTAAGGGAACAGGAAGAACTAGAAGATTTGTCAAATGACTACCCCTCAAGCACCAGTGAAGATGAGGGGGACAGTGGTAGAGAGCGAAAGCATCAAAAGCTTCTGGAAGCAATCAGTTCCCTTGATGGAAAGAATAGGCGGAAATTGGCTGAGAGATCTGAGGCTAGTCTGAAGGTGTCAGAGTTCACGGTCAGTTCTAAAGGATCAGGAGAAAGGCTAGTCCTTTCAGATCTGCTTGAACCTGTTAAAACTTCATCCTCATTGGCCACTGTGAAAAAGCAACTGAATAGAGTCATATCAAAGAAGACTGTGGAGCTACCCCTTAACAAAGAAGAGGTTGAGCGGATCCACAGAGAAGTGGCATTCAATAAAACCTCACAGGCGCTCTCCAAATGGGATCCCATCGTTCAGAAGAACCAACAAGCAGAGCAGCTGTTTTTCCCCCTGGTAAAGGAGCAGTCAGCCTTCGCTCCCATGGAGCATGTGCTCAACGGCTGGAAGGCAAGAACACCCCTGGAGCAGGAGATTTTTAACCTCCTTTGTAAGAACAAGCAGCCAGTGACAGACCCTTTACTGACTCCTGTGGAAAAGGCCTCTCTGAAAGCCATGAGCCTGGAAATGGCCAAGATGCGCCGAGCAGAGCTTCAGAGGGCCCGGACCCTGCAGTCTTACTATGAGGCCAGGGCTCGAAGAGAGAAGAAAATAAAGGGCAAAAAGTATCACAGAGTTCTGAAGAAAGGAAAGGCCAAGAAATCCCTAAAAGAGTTTGAGAAGCTGCGGAAGACCAATCCTGCTGCTGCACTGGAAGAACTGGAAAAACTCGAAAAGGCCAGAATGATGGAGCGAATGAGCCTTAAGCACCAGAACAGTGGAAAATGGGCAAAGTCAAAGGCAATTATGGCCAAATATGACCTGGAGGCTCGCCAGGCTATGCAGGATCAGTTGGCCAGTAACAAAGAACTGACGCAGAAAGTCCAGGAGAGTGAGGAAGAGGAGGGAGGTGAAGAAGAAGAGGGTGATCTCCTTGTCCCTGATGCAGTGAATGAGGCACATATGACTGCAGATGGACCAAACCCCTGGATGGTCAGGAATCACTCTGATGACGCAAAAGAGGCTGAAATCCAGAAGGACTCTGAACAACTTCCAGAGCCCATGGCCAACGAGGCTTCTGAGAGTGAGGAAGAAGAAAGACCAGTGGCAGAGGAAGAAATTTTGTTGAAAGAATTTAAGGAAAGTCAGTCACTTAGGAAAATGTCGGGGCTCAACCAGGACACCAAGCCAGTGGGCAGACAAGAAACAGAAGATTCTAGCACCCAGGAGGTGCTATCCAAACTGAGAGCACTGTCTCAGAAACTCAACAAGGACAACCATCAGTGCAGAAAGCAAAACATGGGTTCAGTGAGGACTGTTTTGTCCACCCAGAGAGAGGGACCTTCTGGGGAAGAAGAGGAGCCCCTGTTGCTACAGAGGCCGGGGAGAGCACAGACTCTGGAGGAGCTAAAGGAACTGAGCAAAGAAGGATGCTTTCAAAATGAGGAGCTTCCCAGGCCTGCGTTAGAAGGGCAGTGGGTGGAGAGGAATAATCAGCCTAGTGCTCCCAAGAAGAAAACAAAGGAGCAAATGATTGACCTACAGAACATCTTAACCACAAAATCTCCTTCCGTGAAGTCTTCGGCTGTCCCCACGATAGAGGAGTTGGAAGATGAGCAAGAGAGAGAGGAAGAGAGAGAGCAAAAGCAAATGATAAAGGAAGCTTTTGCTGGTGATGATGTCATCAGAGATTTCTTGAAAGAGAAGAGAGAAACAGTGGAGGCGAGTAAGCCACAGGACGTGGACCTGACTCTGCCTGGCTGGGGCGAGTGGGGCGGTGTGGGCCTGAAGCCCAGTGCCAAGAAGAGACGCCGGTTTCTCATTAAAGCACCTGAAGGTCCTCCAAGAAAGGACAAGAATTTACCAAATGTGATTATCAATGAGAAGCGAAACATCCACGCAGCAGCTCACCAGGTGCGAGTGCTTCCGTATCCATTTACCCACCATCAGCAATTTGAGAGGACCATCCAGACTCCTATAGGATCTACATGGAACACCCAGAGAGCCTCCCAAAAGCTGACTACACCCAAGGTTGTCACCAAGCCAGGACATATCATTAAGCCTATAAAAGCAGAGGATGTGGGCTACCGGTCTTCCTCACGGTCCGACCTCTCTGTCATACAGAGGAATCCAAAACGACTCTCCATACATCACAAAAAACAGCTGAAGAAAAACTAAAGATAGAGTTGCTGGAGGAGTGACATCTTGGTTCCCAGAAGCAGGACCCTAGAGTGCTCCTCCATTAGCTGGGTTTTACTAGTACTACAATTTCAAAATTTGTTAGCACACATATTAGGAATAAAGGCATTTTTATCTATTAAAAAAAAAAAGAGAGAATGAGTCATGGTGAGAGTGAAAGCCAGTTTTGTTCAGGTAGAGAAAAAGAGTTAGGATGCGGGTTCCTGGAGACAGGATCAGGGGTTGAGCTGCCCACTGCCCCTTTGGTTGCAAGTCTCTCAGGGCGTCGCTGTGAAAGTAGCAAAAGCACAAGTGGAATGGGTGAACTCGAGAGTGAGTTGTGTGCTGGGTCAGTCAGTTCTTGGGATTTTATGTGTTTCCAAGGCTGGGTTGTTTCTAAACTTTGTGGCACTGAGTTCTGACTCGGCCTTCTGTATGCGTGCGTGCGTGCGTGCGTGCGTGCGTGTGTGCGTGTGTCTTGTTCCTAATATGGTCTGTTCTAAAAAGTATCATGGTGTTCTTCCTCCTCTGCCTCCCCTCCCCTTCTACTTGTGCCAGTTTTCATTATGATGATGGTATAATGAGCTTTGAGGCCAGTCTCTTACAAGTTTTTTCTCCATCTTGGATGGATCTGGGTTTAGCTAGTCCTTGTTGCTGTTGTTGACTTCTATGACCCTGCAGGGGTTTCCTGTCTGACTGTTTCCCTATGGTCATGCGTGGAGGTGGGGATCCTGGTGAGTGGACCTAGTGATTTACCATCCCGTGATGTCAGATCCTACTTCCTCATTCCACTTGTCAGGTGTTTTTTCTAACTTCTTTCTATCCTGCCTCACACTTTAAAATAGTCCTCAACCCTCATCTGAAATTATCTTATTTGCTCATCTGTGTGGGGGTTTTTTGCTGTGACCTATATGAAAGCTGGGACCTTTGCATGTTTGTTCATGGTTGTACTTCCAGTATCTGGTATATGTTTGTTGAATGAATGAACAGCATGCAGAAAGCCTGGTAGAGAATAGGCACTCAATGTTCAGTGCTAAAACGAGCATTCGTTGCACTCCCACATATATACCCAAGAGAACTGTACAGAAATGTCTATAACAGCATTACTCTTAGTAGATGGGAGGTGCAAACAACCTAAATGTCAAAATGTGGTGTATCCATACGATGGGATATTATTCAGCCATGAGGCAATGAAGTACTGACACCGATCACAACATGGCTTAGCCTGGAAAATGTTGTATTTAAAAGAATCTAGACACAAAAACCCACATGTCTTATGCCATTTACATGAAACTAGAGGCCCGGTGCACAAAAATTTGTGCACTCGGGGGGGAGGAGGGGGTCCCTCAGCCCAGCCTGTGCCCTCTCGCAGTCTGGGACCCCTTGGGAGATAACGACCTGCTGGCTTAGGCCTGCTCCCGGGTGGCAGAGGGCAGGCCCAATCCCTAGGTGCAGCCCCTGGTCGGGCTCAGAGCAGGGCCGATTGGGGAGTTGGGGCACCACCCCCTGTCACACTCAAGGCAGGGGAGGTTGCGGTGCCACCCCCTGTCACGTACAGAGCAGGGCCAATCGGGGTTGGGGCGCTGCCCCCTGTCACGCACAGAGCAGGGTCAATCAGGGGGTTGGGGAACTCCCCGCTGTCACGCACAGAGCAGGGCCCATCAGGGGGTTGGGGAGCTCCCCCATCACTCACAGAGTAGGGCCAATAGGGAAGTTGGGGCACCACCCCCTGTCACACACAGAGCAGGGCCGATTAGGGGGTTGGGGCGCCACCACTGTCACACTCAGGGCAGGGCCGATGGGGAGGTTATGGCTCTACCCCATCACACACAGAGCAGGGCCCGTGGGGGGAGGGGGGGTTGGGGCGCCGCCCTCTATCACCCACAGAGCAGGGCTGATCAGGGGGTTGGGCGCCGCCACTCTCACACTCAGGGCAGGGCTGATGGGGAGGTTATGGCTCTACCCCATCACAGAGCAGGGCCCGTGGGGGGAGGGGGATTGGGGCGCCACACCCTGTCACACACAGAGCAGGGCCGATCAGGGGGTTGGGGCGCTGCACCCTGTCACACACAGAGCCGCAGGGCAATCAGGGGGTTGGGGAGCTCCCCCCTATCAGGCACAGAGCAGGGCTGATCAGGGGGTTGGGGTGCCGCACCCTGTCACACACACAGCCGCAGAGCGATCAGGAGGTTGGGGAGATCACCCCTATCAGGCACAGAGCAGGACTGATCAGGGGGTTGGGGTGCCTTCCCCTGTCACGAACAGAGCAGGGTGGATAGGGAGGTTGTGGCCCTGCCCCCTGTCACACACAGAGCCACAGGGCGATCAGGGGGTTTGGGCACTGCCCCCTGTCACGCTGATCCTGGTGCTGGGAGGCCTCTCGGCTCCGCTGATCCCGGTGCTGGGAGGCATATTATCCTTTTACTATATAGGATAGAGGCCTGGTGCACGGGTGGGGACCGGCTGGTTTTCCCTGAAGGGTGTCCTGGATCAGGGTAGGGGTCCCCACTGGGGTGCCTGGCCAGCCTGGGTGAGGGGATGATGGCTGTTTGCAGCTGGTCACACCCCCTTCAGGGTGGGGGTCCCCACTGGGGTGCCTGGCCAGTCTGGGTGAGCGGCTGAGGGCTGTTTTCAGGCTGGTGGGTGACTGAAGCTCCCAACCTGTCCTTTTTTTCTTTTTTCTTTTTTTATTCTGGGCCAGCTTTAGCTCTGAGGCTTGGCTCCAGCTCTTAGGCCTCTGCTGCTGAAAGCAGGTATCTGGTTTGTTTGGGTTCTATAATTGAAACTCTGTATCAACTCCAGCTCTGAGATCCCGGCTCACTGAAAGCAGGTTTCTGGGGTTTTGTTTAGCTTCTATATTTGTTACAATGTTTCAAACTGCAAGCTCAGAGGCCGGCAAGGCAGGCGGGGAACGTTGGATTCCTCCGTCACTGAAGCAGCAAGCCTCATGTTAGTTTCAAGCTGCCTGGCTACCGGCTGCCATCTTGGCTGGCAGTTAATTTGCATATTACCCTGATTAGCCAATGGGAAGGGTAGCGGATGTACGCTGATTACCATGTTTCTCTTTTATTAGATAGGATTCCCAGGAAACAAATTCATAGAGACAAAGCAGGGGCTAAAGAAAGGGGTCATGGGGAATAATTGCTTAGTGAGTACAAATTTCTTTTTAGGGTGATGAAATGTTCTGGAATTATCCCTAGCTGGGTGGCTCTGTTGGTTGGAGCATCTTCCTGTACATTAGAAGATTGCAGGTTCAATTCCCAGTCAGGGCACATACCTAGGTTGCAGGTTCGATCCCTGATTAGGGCATGTACTGGAGGCAACCAATGGATGTTTCTCTTTCTCCCTCTCTCAAATCAATAAAACATATCCTTGAGGATTAAAAGAAAAGAAAAGAAAAGAAAAATGTTCTGGAATTAGTGGTGATAGTTCTGTCACACTTTAAATTGGTTAAAATGGTAAATTTTATGTTATGTACATTTTACCTCTTTAAAAAAAGATAGACTGGCCCTAACCGGTTTGGCTCAGTGGATAGAGTGCCAGCCTGCGGACTGAAGGTTCCCGGGTTTGATTCCGATCAAGGGCATGTACCTTGGTTGCCGGCGCATCCCCCGAGGGGGGTGTGCAGAAGGCAGCTGATTGATGTTTCTCTCATCGATGTTTCTAACTATTCCTCTCCCTTCCTCTCTGTAAAAAATCAATAAAATATATTTTTTTTAAAAAAAGAAGATAGACTGGATTAGCATATGAAGTATAGCTGAACTCTAAAACACACAGGACTTAAACTCATCTGCAGACAAATCAAAGAACCATGTAAAGCAACCCTGAGGCATGAATCTACCAAATAGATTTATCGTTCAGTTATCAATTCACTACTGATAGGATTCTTGAAGGATTCCTTCAGATTGTGAGCACTTGTCTCTTTTGCATAAAAACTATTTGATTTCTAGGTAGACCTTTGGGGGAAATACTTTTACATGAAAGAAGACCTGCTGTGGGTAATTGCAAATGCTACTATTCAATGTAAAAAAGTTCATTTAGTGACCAGAAACCACCTCATCACTCCACTCTTAGACCACAGCTCAGGACAGCCTGCACTTCCAAGGAGTTGTTTTCCCATGGTTTGGGGGAGAGGGGGCCTCTGGGGGGTGAAAAGGCTACTGGTAGCTGTGATGTGAGCTCAGCATACTCTGGGGCAGACCCTGGGGCAGGTGCCTCCCCAGAAGCCCTGAGCTTGCAGGAGTGATGCCTCTTATTTCCAGCTGTGAATAGACCTCTAGTGGCAACTACTGAAATCGACCTGCTCTCTCCAGAGGCAAGAGTGCCCGCTCTGTGAATGAGCACGAGTCCTTTCAAGGCACTACAGGTTGCAGCTGTTCCAACAAAACGGAGCATCCTCAGCAACACTGAACCTCCTACAGGTCTGGTTTGGTTAAATATGCTCGTTAAAAATCTCTAAAGAGCAAAATCATAAAGCAGATTTTCTTTATGGATCATCTTCTATGTGGGCTGAACCATGGACACTCTGGTTGCCCTGTGCTGACAGCCATAAGCCTCCATTTCCACTGGACACTGGGAAGAAGCCCTAAAGGCAGGATCTCGTTTATGTGTAAGGAGTTTGGATGTGAGGCTCCCTTGACTCTTGCCCAAGGAAAGACTGCCTGTGAATGGTGATATTTGAATTAGAATTAAGTTCAAGCTTCAACGGGCATTATTTCTACCTTGCTGTTGGAAAATGGTTCTCAAACTTGTGCCAAACAACTCAGTGTCATATCGTTTCATCCAAGGGGGCTGCTCCTACCGCTGATCACCTCTTATCCAGACAGATAATCACGTCCTGCTCTGGGATCACACTTCTATTTTGGCACTTCTTGTAGCGAGGTCATTCATTCAGCAAGTATTTATTGACCTGCTTTGAGTTATGCACAGTTGTAGGTGCTAGGAATAAGGTAGTGAGTATAAAAGGCTAAGTGTTGGTGCTTACAGGGAGGCAACAAATAAATATATATGATAAATAAATATAAAATGTATATAAAGGAAAAGTTGGGTAAAGGACATAGGGAGTGCAGTAGGTAGATGGAGACCTGAGAACTGACAGTGGGATTTTGCAATGTGGAGGTCATTCTTCTTCCAGCAGAAGGGTGGCACTTGAAACCTGATTAGAGTGACTTCAGGAGATTAGGGAAGGGCTCTCTGATTAGATGGCATTTGAACAGATGGAGCAAACCATGCAGCATTATTGGACTAAGGAAATAAATTATGAGTACATTTTCACAGGACCACTGGCTGCTGGGGGTAGAGCAGAATGAAAAGGAGCATGGAAGAGCAGATCAGTTAGGAGCCTATGGCTGGAATCCAGGTGGAGATAATAATGGCTCTGACTAGGTTGGATGGTCAGATACGGGACACAATTTGAAGGTTGAACTCACAGGACTGGCTGATGGGGTGTATGTGGGAGAAAGAGGAGCCAAGGATGATTCCAAGTTTGGATGCCTGGAAAAAATGCAGTTACCTTTTTTCCGAAATGGGCAAAAACGTGGAATGGGAGTTTTAGACAAGGAAGCCAGAAGTTTGGAGGGACTGTCCTGCATGCTGCAGGAAGTTGAGGGCCCCTGGCCGCTTTCTATTAAAGGCCAGCAGCTCTTGCCAGTCATTAGGTCAACCCATAGCCACCCTCACACATTGTCAAATACCCCTTGTAGTGGCGGTGCTGCCCATGTTTGAGACCCACTATAACCAATGAAGTGGGTGTCAGCACCTAGATGTGACTGTTTGGCCAGAAGCAGCAGAAATCTAGCTTCAAGAGCAGAATGAGAACTGACAAATTCTGTAGAGATGGCAACCCCTTCCTCTTTGGGGAGTGAGGTTTAAGTCTAGGAGGTTACGGCATAGAGGTTGAACTGGGCTCCAATCTAGAGAGACAAAGCAGGGTCAAACCAGAAATAGTCACCTTATCAAGGATATCATGCTATACATATTAGAAAGTTTTGAGACTTCCTTTCCTATACCCTCCACCTTAGGAAATCCCACTTGCCACTCTTGTGAGAAGCATCCCTCTAAGCATGATGGCCCCTACCCACACCTGATTAAACCCAAGGTGAACACCTGAAATAACAAGACAATTCATTGGCTGATTGGTGACCTTTCAGATTTTTTCCTGTTGAGCAGTTGAATAATAGGCTAGTGACTGTAGTCACTTGGCGGTGGGTATTTGAGCTGAAAGCACCTATAGACTTGAGATGAAGGTTGCAACATGACAAAGGGAAAGCCACAGCACAGCAAAGTCCAGGTTTGGGGAGAGCAG